CTACGCTCCGCACTAGTGTCCAGCTGTGCAGCAGGAGGGGAAGACTGCGGCACCTCCAGCGGCGACTGGTCAGGGGAAGACGGTCGCTGCCGCACAGCGCCTCCAGCACCAGCACCGACAGCTCCAGCACCCCCAGAATCAGCACCTCCAGTAGCTCCAGCAGCTCCAGCAGCTCCAGCAGCCCCAGCAGCCACAGTAACACCAGCTCCTCCAGCAGCTCCAGTACCTCCAGCAACTCCAGCACCTCCAGCCCCGGCAGCTCCAGTACCCGCAGTACGAGCACCTCCAGGACCTCCAGTCGCAGCAGTACCACCAGTCCCGGCAGTCCCAGCGCCTCCAGGGTCTCCAGCTCCAGCAGCAACACTCCGAAGTCGGCAGCGCCAGTCGTACCACTCGCGCAGCTGCTGTGACGAGAGAGGCTCCCGTTGGCGGGACTGCCGCAGGGAGGCACTAAGAGTACCGCCAGGAGACGCAGCACCCCCAGGCTCCGCACACACAGGCTCCGCACACGCAGGCTCAGCAGCCCCAGGCTCCGCACGCTCAGGCTCAGCACCCCCAGGCTCCGCACGCTCAGGCTCAGCACCCCCAGGCTCCGCACGCTCAGACTCAGTACCCCCAGCAGCACCACCCCCAGCAGCACCAGAGTCACCAGTGACCTCGACAGGCGTACCAAGGGGGAGGGGGTCTACCTGGGACACACCTGAAGGGGCCGGACCCTGAGGGGGGAGGGGGTCTACCGGAGGGGGACCTGGAGTGAGGAACAGGGGCAGGGAAGGGAGGTCAGCAGTGCGGTAGGGGAAGAGACGGTAGTAAGGAACCGACTCGTCAAACGTGACGTCCTGAGAGGACAGAACACGACGCGAGGTGGGGTGGTAAAACTGCCAACCAGGCGCGTCAGGGGGGAAGCCAAGGAAGACACAGGGAACAGCACGGGAGGATAGCTTGTCCGCGGAAGAATCGCGGACAAAAGCTCGAGATCCCCAGACACGGAACACAGACGCATCGCCAACCTTCCCCATCCACCGCAGAGCAGGTGTGGTCTCCGGCATGGAGACACGGGGCTGGAGGTTGAGCTGATGCGCAGCGTACTGGACCGCGAACGGCCACAGAAAATGGGGAGCAGCCGCATGGATCATGGACGTACGAGCGACGTCCATGACCATGCCAATGCGGCGCTCAGCAATCCCATTTTGCTGTGGGGAGGCCGGAAGCGTGAACGTCTGGCAGATGCCCTCCGCACGACAGGAGGCCCGCAGAAGGTCGGAGGAAAACTCACCACCTCTGTCGGAGTGCAGACGCAGAACAGGAAGGTCCGAGCCGAAACTCTCGCTGAGCTGGTGACGGGCAGTGCGGATCCAGGTGATCAACACCTCAGTGACCTCACCCTTGCGGCGCAAGGGGAAGACTGTAGTGTAACGCGAGTAGTCGTCAACGACCAGCAGAAAGTAACGCTCGTGACCCTGTCCACGGACGCGGGCTGGGCCCCACACGTTCATATGGAGAGTCTGCAGGGGAGCCTCCGTCGGAGGGAACTCGGAGGAGTGAGGAGCGGCGCGCTGCCGTCCCTCGACGCAAGGAACGCAGGTAGGGGCAGGCCCCGGTGGGAGGGGAGGGAGAGACCGGGGGAGACCAGAGACAAGGGTACGGGAGGCCATACCTCGGAGACGAGGCAAGGAGGGGTGACCAAGGCGGTGGTGCCAAAGGAGAGTCTGGTGTGACAGGAGACGACACGAGCAGGGGGCAGACTCCGGACTAGACGTGGACGCGGAAGCAATCACCTGACCAGAAGCGGCTACCTGACCAGACGCAGCAACGGGAGGAGACTCAGTAGTCAGTGTGTACAGGCTCGACCCAGGCCGACGGGTGAACGTGGCCAGGTGGCGGCCCGTCCGAGTACACGTACAGTGGGTCACACGCCGACCTCCAGGAGTGAACTGGTCAACCCACACGTCCTGGAGGTCAGCTCCACTCACCAGGTTCGTAGAGAACGAGGGGAGGTGAAGACCCGACAGTGAGCCAGACGGGGCCGCCGGACACGGCAGAACTGTGGAGGAGTGCGTAAGGACTGGGCCCCCAGAGGGGTCCGCTAGGGAGACTGCAACCGGCCGACTGAGCGGCGTGAGTGTGGTGCTGTCGCGAAAGAAGGAGCGGGAAGCACCTGAGTCAAGTGTGAAGGTGTGCAGGGCGAGCGAGGAAGCGGGGCAAGCGACTCTGGGAGACCTGAGACCAGACGGTAACGTGCCATCCTACTGAGACGTGGGAACGACGGGTGACCTAGACGGTGGTGCCAGAGGACAGACGGGTGGGCGAGGGAGCGACAGTCGCACGACACAGCAGCTACCTGACCTGACCTGACCTGGCCTGACCCAGTGCGGTGGGACCCTGTGTGTAGTGAGTACAGACCAGAGCCCGGCTCCCGGTGAAAAGTGGCCAGAGGGGCCCCAGTGGTACCGACTGTGCAGGAGGCAACAGGCTCGTCCAGTGGGAAAGTGGTGACTACACCTAGGTCGTGGAGGTGACTGACACCCACCAGGTTCCTAGAGAACGAGGGGGTGTAGTAACCTGTAAGAAAACCTGAGGGAGCCGTCGGACACGGGAGAGTGGTGGTGCTACGAGCAACTACAGGTCCCACAGAGGGGTCAGCCAAGGCGACAGTGACTGGAGTGCGCAGTGGTGTGAGGTCAGTACAGTCGCAAAAGAAACAGCTGGACGCTCCAGAGTCTAGGGTGAAGGAAAGGTGTGCAGTCTGTGAGGTCGCACCCGAACCAGCTACAAAGGCTGGTGCAGGACTAGTGGTAGCTGCAGCTCCTACACAAAGACCCTCAGAGGTGCCTGGACTGGAAACAACACACGCACCAAGACTGGAAACACAGGTCTCTACTCGTGCAGCCGGGAACGGTCCTAGACCAGGCAGGTGGGACTCAACTGGTGCAGCAGTGCGCTGGCGAAGACGCGAGGGCCAGTGCGGTGTAATAGCGTGAGAACCAAAACGCTCACGGTGGAGGTCGACGAGTCGACGGTAGCAGCTGGACGCAGAGTGGTCAGGACTCCAGCATGTGGTGCCAGCACCAGGGCCTGTCAGGGCCCGGTACCCGCAGGGGCCGACGTCTCGCCCATTGCTAGCTGAGCCACTGCTGGGGGCTCCACCCTGTGGACCCTCAGGTCCCCACTGCCAGGAGTGCTGCGGCTGGCCCTGCTGCTGTAGAACTCTGGTACACGCCATGTGGGCCTAAGCTACTGCTGGTTCTGCTGGGGGCAGCCTAAGCTGCTGCTGGTGCGCTGGCGGCAGCCTAAAGTGCTACTGGTGCGCTGGGGGCAGCCTATGCTGCTGCTGGTTCTGCTGGGGGCAGCCTAAGCTGCTGCTGGTGTGCTGGGGGCAGCCTGTGCTGCTTCTGGTTCTGCTGGGGGGCAGCCTCGGCTGCTACTGGTTCTCCAGGGGGGCAGCCAATGCTGCTCCTGGTGCGCTGGCGGTAGCCTAAGCTGCTGCTGGTGCGCTGGGGGCAGCCTATGCTGCTGCTGGTTTGCTGGGGGCAGCCTATGTTGCTTCTGGCTCTGCTGGGGGCAGCCTTAGCTACTACTGGTTTTGCTACGGGCAGCCTACGCTGCTGCTGGTGCGCTGGGGGCAGCCTATGCTGCTGCTGGTGCTGCTGGCGGTAGCCTAAGCTGCTGCTGGTTCGCTGGGGGCAACCTAAGCTGCTTCTGGCTCTGCTGGGGGCAGCCTATGCTGCTGCTGGTGCTGGTGTAATCGGCTGGGGCTACTGGCGGCGGGTGTGGCAGCTCGTGAGGAGGCGGGTTTCAGGTGGGGAAGCTGTTAAGGCAGCGGGCTACGGGTGGGGAAGGTTAGGCGGCGGTTCTATGCGGTTCTATGCGGTTATGTGCAGTTCTGTGCGGTTCTGTGCGGTTCAACGCGGTGGAGAGTACTGGGTGGGGCGGCTGAATCCGGGTGAGGTGCCTGGAACGGGTGGGGCGGCGGTTGTCAGGTCTGGGGCGGCGGTTTTCAGGTATGGGGCGGCGGGTTTCCAGGTTCGGCGGCGGATTTCAGGTCTGTAATGGCGGGTTTTCAGGTCTGGGGGCGGTTAAGACGGTGGGCTGCACGTGCGCGCGGCTGCTGCTGCACGTGCGTACGGTCGCGACGTACTAGCGCGGAGCTGCGGGTGCGACTAAGGCTGCGCGCGCAGCTACGCGCGTTCGTCTGCTGTGTGCTAGAGGGCTGGGGGGCAACGCGCGGGGTAAAACGAGTGGGGCGCGGGGCAGAAAACCGAGTGACGCACGGCAAAAACGGGTGGGGCGCAGGGCAGAAACGGGTGACGCGCGATGGCGACGGGGGGCGCGGCCTACTCGGGCTCTACGAGGCAGGGCGCTTCGGGCTACGGGTCGCTACGAGGCGCGCGGGTGGTGGGCCCATAGAGTATCGAGAGAAATTTCGCCTAGGGGAAAAAATCGCCTAGGGGAAAAATCGCCTAGGGGAAACCTAGCTCTATACCATGTTACGATATGAATGAATTGATAGAAAATGTGAAGTACAACCCTAGATATAGCAAACCCTAATCATGCAAGTAAGTAGAAATGTAACACCTAGACTAACCTAAGGGCGTGTAAAATTGTAACGACCAAACGCTATGGTCGATCATTTGGGCGTTTCTGGCGAGTGCGAAATGTGTAACACTCCAACGAACCCCGCCACAAAATTCGTCAGCATTTGGGGCACCCACCCCAAACCACCCCCTTAATAAAAAAAGATTTTTTTTTTTTAATTCCCTTTACTGCATTCGAAAGGGGTGTGGAATAGGGGGGTCTGAAGCCTAGACGAGAGTGTTTACCAAAGCAGTGGGTTTAGGTAAACGGAAAAAAACATCTCCCCGCTGAGCATTAGTTTAGGCATGTCCCAAAATGCGGTGCGTAAATTTCGGTTCAGAAATTACCAATGAAAATCGGTGATATCGGGGTGACTACTCCAATCGACGTAACCCTTATTCCTCGCAATCGCCAGAAACGCCCAAATGATCGACCATAGCGTTTGGTCGTTACAATTTTACACGCCCTAAACAACACATATAAAATATATGTTGACAGAGCAGACTCACCAGTACCTGAGAGAGCAGACTCACTAGCACCTAGAGCAGCAGCCTCTATACCTGGGTCAGGCGGCACACACAGGTAACAGTCACCCTCAGCACGTCTCTGAGACGCCCAACGCTAAGCAAACCACTCACGAAGCTGCTGGGGCGTAAGGGTCTCACGTGGACGCCGCTGCAGCTGCACCGGGCCACCTCCAGAAACTCCCAACTAAGTAGCTGCACCGCGACTGCCACTACGGCCATTATGCTGAGACGCCCAACGCTGAGCAAACCACTCACGAAGCTGCTGGGGTGTAAGGGTCTCACGCGGACGCCGCTGCAGCTGCATCTGGCCACCGCCAGAACCTCCCAACTGAGTAGCAGCACAACGACTGCCACTACGGCCACTACGCTGAGACGCCCAACGCTGAGCAAACCACTCACGAAGCTGCTGGGGTGTAAGGGTCTCACGCGGACGCCGCTGCAGCTGCATCTGGCCACCGCCAGAAACTCCCCACCGAACAGCTCCACACCGACTGCTACGACGGCCGCCACCACTCCCACCGCTGCCGTGAAGAGAAGTCATGCGACCAGCAGGGCAGCACGTAGGGAAGGAAGGGCGGCGAGGAGGCACTAGGGTAGGTCGGGGCGGTGCACGGTCAGGGAAGGGCGGCGCGCGGCCAGAGCAGGGCGACGCGCGGCCAGAGCAGGGCGGCGTGCGACCAGAAGCAGGCAGTAGCTCCTAGGGCAGAAGCACCAAGAGTTTTTTTTTTTTTTTTTTTTTTTTTTTTTTAGGGTTTAGCAGGGCGCACAGGGCGCTGCAGAGGCGGCTCGGGCAGGGCAGGGCAGGGCGCCAGTGCGCGCAGGGCAGGGCGCTGGCGCGTTGGCAGGGCAGGGCGCTGGCGCGGGCAGCAGCGCGCACGGGCAGGGCGGCGCTGGGCAGCGAGTGCAGGCCCGCGGCGGGCGCAAAACGCAGGCACGGCGGGCGCAAGGGGCGGGCCCGCGGCGGGCGTAGCGGACAGGTGCGGGCGGGGCGAACGGGCGGGCCCGTGACGTGCCGAACGGGTAGGCGCGGCGGCGCGAAGGCAGGGCCCCCGGCGGGCCTAACGGGCGGGCGCGGCAGCGGGCGTAACGGGCAGGCGTGGCGGCGCGAAGGGCGGGCCCGCGGCGGGCCTAACGGGGCAGGGCAGGGCGTGCGCAATGCAGCGCGACGCGGGGCAGGGCAGGGCGTGCGCGGGGCAGCGCGACACGCAGCGGGCGCAGTGGCGGCAGGCAGCGGGCGCGACGGCGTGCTTAGTAGGGCGGGTGCTTACCAGGGGCGGGTGCAGGGCAGGGCCGCGACAGGCGGTTAGGTCAGGGCCGCAACGGGGCGGCTGTAGGGCAGGGCTGCAACGAGGCGGCGGCAGAGCAGGGCCGCGACGGGGCGGCAGCAGGGCAGGGCTGCGACAAGGCGGCTGCAGGGCAGGGCCACGACAGGTGGCGGCAGGGCAGGGCCGCGACGGGCGGCGAGGTCAGGGCCGCAACGGGGGGCGGCAGGGCAGGGCCGCGCCGGGCGGCTAGGTCAGGCCGCGACGGGCGGCTAGGTCAGGCCGCGACGGGCAGCGACAGGGCAGGGCCGCGACGGGCGGCTAGGTCAGGGCCGCGACGGGCCGTTAGGGCTGGGCCGCGACGGGCCGGGAGGGCAGGGCCTCTACTGGCGGCAGTAGGGCAGGGCGCGCGACGGCGCAGGTGAGGCAGGCGCGAGGCGCGCTTCGGGCAGGGCAGGAAAAATATCATTATCGTGATGGGCCCTAAAAAAAACGTTCCCACTAGGGAACCTGCTCTGATACCATGTCAGAAAGTAGGAATGAAGGATGACTAGAATGGCAGCAGTACAGGGTTTGTATAGCAAAACCTAATTGGTTGTACCCTAGAAGGAGTGCCCCACTACAGCCTATAGCATATAAATGCATAGTTCTGACTAGTTCTCGCTCGCTTAACCAAGCGACGCTGCAATCACGCCGCTCGCACAGAGCTGTCCGCTACACCGCCGAACTCCGTTAAGACCCAGCTCCCAGTGCTGATTTTAATATCCGTAAGTGTCGGCGACGACGTACCCCGTAAAAACTCGGACACAGGTAAGTTTTTGCTCCTAAATGTTCGGACGTGTCTAGCGTGCCCGCCCGGTCACCCAGCTGTTCCCGCCGGTTAACCAAACCGGGTTTCCCCCGTATTTGGAGGCAGTACGGAACCTAGGACTTTCTGGGGATATTCCGAGACCGAATTTCACGGAACCTAGCCCGCATCAACGTCGGCGATCTCGTCGTTGAACTTGCCCAGACCGCTTCGAAGTACACCGCGAAGTTGTTTGGCGAGCAGACGTTCACCCGTCTCCCACCTTCGTTTTACTTGTTTCACCCCCCGACAATACCGGCGAGCCTCCGTTCACCCAGTAGTCGCGTTTGTCGGATGAGGTATAAGTCCGTATTGCCCGCGATTTTTTTGACACTCGGTGAAGGCGCAAACGCTATCGTAGTCGGATCCTGTTTATCATATGAAACAGTCAGGCCGACCGCTTCGTTGCCCACCTCGTCTATCGCGTTTAAATCTCCACAGCTTCGGGAACTCCATCTTCGCCGCTGTACCCACGTCGGATAGCCCGCTGAATTGAACGGGCTCCGACAGCTGCACCAATTTCTTCAGTTCCGACTTTTTTCGACAGGGTAAATGTTGCTGATGGTCCGGTTTTGTCGGGGCCGAAACAATGTTCCACCCATGAAATTTTCTTGTACACCCAGCTATCGAACTTGCGCCATACCCGCGCTTTTTAGCCAGCACAGGGCTATATACAGGTTCCCACGTTATTCATCCAGTGCCCTCCAGACTGTCGCCAATTAGGCCGCCTTGGAAGCTAACTGGTGTGGGGTATGTGAAACGTCGTGAGACTTTGGTCGGTAGTTCGACCCTATCTGGTTCCCGCCACTTAGCCGCGAAACCCGACATCGCGGAACCCGTTTTTCTCGCTGGAACCGTACTCGACGCAACTCCGTATATTGTAGCCGGTAGAACCCCCGAAAATTGCGGGTCTAAACACCGCGCCGAATCATTGTCCCGCCGGTGTACTGCCCCGTCTGTGGCGCAACTACCCTTGATCAGGGGGTGTTGTGCCGCCTGAAGTGTAGTATCGGCTGTTGTTGTTGCTCCTAAGATTTCGCCGATTTTGTTGCAGGCGCAGAAGTGACCCTGATGATAGACAGTCGTAGGCGGCTTTTCCCGAAGTTTTCGGTGGTTTGAAAAACAACTTCTATCCCACACTGTGTCGCTCTGCCGAAAACGCCCAATGACGCACCCTCCTGCAGCCACACCAACTGTACTCGGGACGAAGGTAGACCCCCGCTTTCCTCGGGCAGTCGCCACGCCATCTCTCCTCGCCGTTGCATTTTCCGACGCAAATCACCATGCGTCTTGTCAGAATAGTGAAGGAAGGAATGATTGATTGAGCAAGCAGCTGGGTACAAGTAGGAAACCTAGAAGTGTTGTACCCTATATGACCTACCCCACTACAGCCTACACAGACTATAGCATATAACTTTGACACACCCCCATAGGCAAAGTGGGGAAGAACAAGAGGTCACAAGACCGATCAAGAAAGGCAAAGCAAGCTCAGGGTGGATCACGACGTCACCACACAATCTGAGCACAAGCAAATGGCCACAAGGCCGGTTCACATGCAGAGTTATATAAAGGAAAACAAGCAATACAGTGATAACAACCTAGCAAGTGCAAGCATGCAGGTATAGGTATAGAGATCACAGTACAAGCAGAGTCAAGAAGTAAGCAAGTGAGGCACAGTAGGCACAAGGCCTAGAACAGTACAGAAACGCTGATGATCACAAGGCTGAAGCGCCTTGGTGAAGACATCAGCAGTGTTGGCCCGAGTGGCCACGTAAGCAAGACGAAGCTGACCACGCTGCTACAACTCTCGAGCAAGGAAGTAGCGCAGAGCGATGTGCTTCGTTCTGTGCTCCAGTCTGTGCTCCTGACACAAGGCAATCATGGCCTTGTTGTCGACGTACAGCACTGGAGGAGAACGAGGTGGCTCTCCCAGGTCGGTCAGCAGGTAGGTGAGCCAGCGTAACTCCTGTGCAGCCATGGCCCCGGCGTAGATCTCAGCCTCACAACTGGAGCTGAGAACAGAAGACGAGCGGGTAGACCGCCAAGAAACAGAGCCGGAGCCAAGGCTGATGGTGTAACCCTGTGACGACCGCTGCGTAGCCAAGTCGTCAGCCCAAGAGGCGTCTGCGTGACCAGTGAGGACAACTCGAGCCCGTCCTCCAAGCACGAGCCCCATGCCCGACGTACTGTACAAGTAGCGCAACACCCTCTTAGCGGCATCCATGTGCTCCTTCCTGTGACGGCCAGGAGCGACATAGCGTGCTAGGATGCTAAGAGGGTAGGCAAGGTCAGGTCGAGTGCAGGTCATCAGGTACATGAGGCAGCCCACAAGCTCTGGATACGGGCCACTCGGCTCTACGGACTAGTCCGAAGGTGGAGCTGAGAGCGAGTGACCGGTAGGCAGAGGAGTGGACTGTGGCGAGGAGTACGTGAAGCGGAAGCGCTGAAGGACCTGCTGCACCATGTGTGACTTAGTCAGGGTAATGGTGCGCTGTGCTCTGTCCTGGGTGATCCGCAAGCCAAGATAGCTTGTCAGCTCACCCAGGTCTGTGCACGTGAGTCTCTTCTGCAGCTCCGACTTCACGTGGGCGAGTGCCTCAGTGTCAGAAGTAGCAAAGACCAAGTCGTCTAAGAAACGCGAACGTAGAACGGCGGCAGAGTGGTGTCGGTGCGTAGAAACAGCGACGGGTCAGCAGTAGAAGGAGCAAACCCAAGAGCAGCAAGAGTAGTCCTCAGTGTGTCGTGCCACTCACGGGGTGCCTGGCGGAGACCGTAGACCGGCCGCCGGAGGCTCCACTGGGTACCAGCAGGAAACGACCCAGTGAAGCCAGGTGGGCGGCGCAGCCAGATCTCCTCGTGCAGGCTGCCCTGTAGGAAAGCAGTGCTGAATTCAAGAGAGTGAAGCTCGTAGTCACGCTGAGCGGCGACGTGCAGCAGAACCCGAAGAGTGGTCATCTTCGGGGTAGGGGAGAAGGTCTGGAAGAAGTCAACTCCCTCTCGCTGACTAAAGCCTCGTGCAACGTAACACGCCTTGAAGACAGGCGGAGAACCCGGCGGCCGCTTCACCCTGAAAATCCACATGCCACTGACGATGTTCGCCCCAGGCGGGGGAACCTCGTCGACGTAGGTGCCTGTGGACTTCCAGGAAGCCATCTCTGCGTCCATAGCTGTCTGCCACTCAGAGGAGTAGGGACCCTCTATCGCCTCTGCGTAAGAGCGCGGGGTCGGGATGTCTGGTGCATCCGGGTCTCCCTCAGGGGCAATCAGCATGGACACGAGATGAGGTAAAGCAGCGGCAAAGCACTCAAACTCCTCTTGTCTGTCCTCAAGGACGTCCGTGCCAAGAGCACACTCACCCCCGACGGACGGAGGACAGACAGACTCAGACTCAGACTCAGCAACAAGACTAGCAGCGTAGTCTAGACGACAGGCGGCAGCAAAGTCAACAAGCTCAGCAACTAGAGCAGACGCAGCAGTGGACTCAAACGAAGGGTCAGTGACAACAGTGGCGAGGAAACGCGTAACAGTAGGACTAGCAGCACGAAGGGAGTCAGACTCCGGGTCCGGACCGTCAGGAAGAGAGGACGCAGGAGGAGACAGCAGAGGGACACGTTGTGGAGCAGTGGAAGGACGCAGAGTCATATAGTGAGTGCCAGGGACAGGAGGAGGACGCTGACGCGGAACACGACCAGTGCGGACAGCGCGAACAGGCGACTCAGGACGAGACTCAGGCGACGCAGGACGACACTCAGGCTCACGACGCTCCGTAAGACCTCTAGTCGCTCCAGAGTAAGGAGAAGGACCAGGCAGTGGAGAGGCGGGCAGTAACTGCGACTGCGACTGGACAGGCTGTGGACTCAGTAAGGGAGGAGGAGGAGGACCAGTAGAAAGCGGTAGGCCAAGAACCTGCTGAAGGAGCGGAACGTAGTACGGCCGCGGCCGCGCAGCGCCTCTAGAAACAGCAGAGACAGCACCAGTACCCTTTGCTCCAGGGTCTCCAGCTCCAACTCCCGCAGCACCACCAGCAGCACCAGCTCCAGCAGCACCAGCTCCAACTCCCGCAGCACCACCAGCAGCACCAGCTCCAGCAGCACCAGCTCCAACTCCCGCAGCACCAGCTCCAACTCCTGCAGCACCACCAGCCTCAGCAGCTCCAGTACCTCCAGTACGAGCACCTCCGAGACCAGCTGCTCCAGCA